GGGAGGAGAATTCCAAGGAGATGGATCAGGAGGGTCTGAATTGAAGTTTGAAGTCGCTGAAGATCATGAGGCGATCAGAGCAGAGGTAGAACGATGTTAGAACTGTCGGAGAGGAAGGATGATGTGGGTAGGTGGCTGGTAGATACGGAGAATTTTGAGTGAGAGATGGTAGCGTTGGGAGAGGGTGAGGTGCTCAAAAGAGGAGAAAGAACCAGTGGAGTAGGGGTATAGGGCAAGTGATGTCCTTGAGATAAGGGCTACAACATCGCACGGCGGTTGGGGCGAAGGATGTGTTGGGAGGTGTAGCCGGGTGGTGTGGCCTCCTGAAGGGGGAAGGTGTCGCTTGGGTTGAGCTCGGTTTCAGTTAAGGCCATGATGTCAACGCTCTCATCAAGGATGAGATCGTTGATGACCAGGGCATTATTACAGAGGAAGCGGACGTTTTGTTGTCCGATTTGGACGGAGCTGTTGATAGAAGAAGCCTGGGGAGGGTGGGGGTTTCTGGTTGTGAGGCAATTTTGGGGGGGATGGGGATGAGGGAGGAGAGTTTGGCTCCCCGGGTCCGGGTCCGGGGTGGCTGGCGAGTGCAGTGGGGAATGGGGCAGTCGGTGTGACTGCTGCTGGACAGCCAACGCCGAGGACCACGTTGAGCCCGACAGGATTCCCAGGCTGGAACAGAGGGAAGTAGTGGGAGGGTCAAGCTAAGGAAGACCACAAGAGACCAACATAGCAGTTGGAGATTTTATCTTACCCGAGATTAATTTGGATAATATGTATGCTGGTAAGATAGGGAATGGATTTCTTGAATCGAAAAAAGGCTTTTTTATTGCCCAGTAAAAGAGCCAACAAAGGGAGATGATATCTTGTATTTGATAACGAACAACATGGACAATCAAATCTCCAACATAAAGATCGGAGGAGCATGAAACAACCGCGATCACATTTGACAACACAAGAATTGGTGAGGTTATACAAACGCAAACGAAACTACCAAATTTCAAGAGGACGGAATTTATGTGCTTGAGAATTCGGGGTGGGCCTGAAACGCTTATATATGGCAATGCAATTGGGGGACCTGTGGAGCTCCTTCAAGGCGGTGATAATAAAGCCAATGGAATATTGGAACAATGTGTACAAAGATACCAAGTTTAAAAGCACTACTGCCTGGTTGGACGGTGCTACAAAGCAAATCATTAGGAATATAAGTATTTAAGACGCTGAAGGAAAATAACACGAAAACAAAGCGGATTTATTACCAGAAGGCAAGCAGGATTGAAAAAAATGACATCAAAATTGCAAAGAAAAGATTTGAATTGACTTGACAAGAAATGTGAATGATAATAATAAAACTATTTTTAGATGCATTAACAGTAGAAGAAAACAAGAAATGGAATAGGGCCATGTCTTCGGGAGGGAGGATGACAAATAATGCTGCACAGGCTGCTATAGTGCTGAATAATTGTTTTGTATCAGTCTTTACCAAGGAGGAAATAGGCAACCTCTGATCTGGAAAGAGAAACGAAAGGTTCGCAGAGAAAGGTTGTGACACGATTCATATCACTACCTGCATGTTTGCCAAACAACTGGATAAACCTAATGTAAGAAATTCGCAGGGATCGGATAAATTACATACGAGTACCCTTATTGAACTAAGGGAGGAAGTCGCAGAAACGCCGACACAACTGTGCAAAAAATCACTAAAGACTTCAGAGGTGCCGTTGGACTGGAGGAAGTCAGGTGTTACTCCGACATTTAAGAAAGGTAACACAAGTGACCCAGGAAACAGACCAGTAGGTTTAACGTCCATTATCGATTATGTATGACGTACTATTCAGGAGAAAATCATGAGAGCATCTGTACATAAATCAAATCATCAATGAAAACCAATATAGGTTCATGAAGGGGAGGTCCTGCCAATCTCATTTACTGGTTTTCTTTGATGATGCGAGAAGGGAACTTGATAACGATGAGGCTGTGGATGTTGTATATCTGAATTTCACTGAGGCGTTTGATATATTTCCTCTTGAGAGGCTGGTACTGAAAATAAAGAAAGGGTGAAGAAAGTGGAGGTATATAACAATGGATACGTGATGAGGTGAATGGAAGAAGCCAGAGAGCGGTGGTACAGGGAATGTCGTCAGGCTGGAAAGAAATTAACAGTGGAGTTCCACACGTGTCTTATTCGAGACATATTTTCTTCAATATATTTATAAATGATCTGGACCTAGGAGTTGCAAGCACAGTGGCTGATGGCAGAGATGACACCAAACTAACAAGATGGTAGTTTGCGAAGCTGAACAAGATATGCTACAGGTGGATTTCAACGTATTTGCAATTGCAGGCAGGTGAAATTCAATGTGGAGAAATATAAATTACTTCACATGGGGAAAAAAATCCTGGAACTGACTATAATTTGAGGGAAGGAAAATATAATATTGAGAAACATAAAGACCTAGGAGTTCTGATTGACAATAAATTTAAGCTCTCCCAACAATGCACTGGAACAGTGAGTAAAGCAATCTAGATAAAGGTATGTATCAAAACTTCCATAACAAACCGAAATAGTGGAGTGATCCTGCCAGTGTATACATCCTTAGTGAGATTTACTTAGAGTAATGAATACAGGTCTAGTCAGTTCAGTAGAAAAAGGATTTTGGAGAAATCAAGAGGATACTGAGGAGGGCAAATAAAATGATTGAGGGAATGGAAGGACTGGACTATGAGAAGCGACTAAATAATTCAGTATGATAACGCTGGAAAAGAGAAGATTGTGAGGCGACATGATTGGTGTCTTTAAGATTCTCTAGGGGCAAAACAAAATAGATCATAGCAGGATGTCTCAACATGTCCAGAATAGTAAAAAACAGAGGACATGGCCTGCGATTGAATTGCGCAAATTGAGAACGAACACTATTTCAGTGACTGAATAGTGAACCTTTGAAGAGTCTCCCATGGATGGGTTGAGGCAGAAAGTGTTGCTTCCTCCAAACACGGATAATATAGTTTTCTCTTAGGAAGTAACATTATGGGACTGAGCATGTACTGAGGTGTTTCAGGCCATACGTGCAGGCACTGGCCAGGAAGGTGGAAGGCCAACTAGATGGACCTTGGTCTTTTATCAATTAGCATTTCTTACGCTCTTATCAAGGCAACCGATAGTCGTTTCCTTGATAGATATCTGTTGCCAGCTAGCCACCAAATCCTCACAGATCTTTTTAACGCGCATCCACGCCATGACCCGTTCTGACTTCCGCCACCTCCGTCACTGCCTCAAACCGCAGGCCCCCTAAACCCTCGTAAACGCCTTCGTTAACATAGAGGCTCGACTATGAAAACACACAGCATTTCGGCATACCAAACTCCTCCCTCCGTAGGCTGCAGATCCTTCAGAACTTTAGAGCCGTCCTTTCCCACACCAGGCTCCACGACTCAATCAGCCCCATCCTTGACCCCTCCACTGGCTTCCCATCATACAGAGGATACAGCTCAAACTCCCTGTCCGAATTTTCAAAGTCCACTAAGATCTTGCTTTCCCCGACCTCTCCGACCTTCTACCCCTATCATCCTGTTCGCTCCCTCCGCTCAGTTGACTCTGGCCTGCTTCATGTCTCCCAATTTGCTCGCCCTACTATCGGCGCGTGGTTCGTCTGCCACTATCCACCCTCTGAAACGCCATCCCGCTGTCTCTCCGTCTCGCCCCATCCTCGTCACCTTCAAGAAACCCACTGAAGACCCTCCTGTTGGCAGTGCAATTGATCTCCCTGCTGTCCCCTTCCCCATCTCCCTTCCCCAAACCTTCCCTCAACTCGGTTCCGTAACCCCGTGTCTGTTTAGCGCCTTGGGACGTCAGACAACATGAAAGGCTATGCAAATGTAATTTTGTTGTTATTGTTGTTGGTCGAAGTGTCAGTGTCAATGGCGTCTTGCCTAACCAACTCAACAACAGCAAAAAATTACACTTAAATAGCGCCCTGCATGTTCAGCGGTCACTCAGATCAATAACAACAACAAAAAATGATATTTATAGAGCGCCTTTCACATCGGCAAGAAGTCCAAAAGCGATGAAGAGTCAGGTGTCCGGGCTCAAGCATGCGAGAAGGGTATGAGTTTGGTATAGGTGTGAGGGAAGGCAGAGAGGTGCGAGAGAGACCAAAGGCACAGTCGAAGTGTAATGTCTTGAGACCGGCCTTGAAGGAGGCAAGAGAGGAAGCGAGGCGAAGGTGCCATGAGATGGTGTTCTAGAGTGTGCGGGCAGAGAGGCTGCAAACCCGGCCACCGATGGTAAGGCGGGTCGGGCGGGAAACACGAAGCAGGCCGGAGCCCACTGAATGACAGGAGCGGGCAGGCTCATACAGAGTCAGCAGGTCAGAGAGAACTTAGCAATGTTGAAGCCTAACAACGAGCCAGGGGAAGGGGAAAGTTGACCGTAGGCACGGCCAAAACGGATGTTCTTCAGGCTTGACCTGAAGATGGGGAAGGCGGAGCGAACGTGTTGAGTGAGCAGTTCAAATGTTTCAGGGCGTTGTGGCTGAAGGCACGGCCTTCGATGATAGAGCGGAAGATTTGGAGTAGCAAAGGAGGCCGGTCCCAGCAGAGCGGAGTTAGCTGATACTGCTGTCGGGGAGAGTGGAGATTAGAGTAATGGGGGACAAGGAATGGAGGGATTTAAACACTAGAGTAAGGATCTTGAAGCCCATCGGCTCTGTGACAAGGAGTCAGTGGAGTTTGGCAAGGTCTGAAGTAATCGGGGAGTGGAGTTTATTGCGGTTGACTTAAATTTTTTGTCACTTTCAAGTCTCTCATACTTGTTAGTTGCCAGACATTTCCTCAAATCTGATTGAACTGCGTTATATCCAAGCGATTACAGCCCCATTTTCCCGCAAAACATAGCTTTTCCGAGAATACTGCGTTTCTTGCAGCTTGCATGCGTATGTGTCCCAATCGGACTCCTCCACCAGCCCAAATTGTTAAAATCTTCCACCATTTATGATGTGTCTTACCTTTATCCTGGATCTCTTTCAGGATTCCCTTCAGCTGTGGTTTATTGTCCTCCATTTTCATAAAAGCTTCCCACATCCCTCTTTGCACCTGTCTTGGCGCTCCAGTTAATAAATCCAGAAGATATTTCGCTGCTTCATGTTTCTCTTTCCTATTTAACAGCTGTCTGATTTCCTAGAAAAGCAGAAACAAAAGTGTTAACTGAATCCACGCTGCTGTGATATGAAACGATTTATTCAATTGTTTAGTTTTGGCGTCAGAATTCTTTCAATCTTACCAATTTGTCAATCTTCTGCTGTATATCAGGCTGGCTTATTTAGTAAGATTCTTGCCTCCGAGTCTGAATTTTTTGGGTTCAAGAATCACATCTAGCCACTGAACTCATAGTCTAGTTTGCCGCTCCAGTGCAAGGCTGATGATGTGGTGCAAATTCTGGAAGGTGTCCTCCAGAATAAATGGTACACCGAGGGCCCATGAATTATTTCTTGGGTTTACCCATGTATCTGAAACATGCGGAAAGCGTACCGATTGCTTATGGATATTCAGACCAAGCTGAGAATTTCATGCTTCCGACCTAAACATGGATACCCCAGAACAAATTATTCGAATGGAATATACTCTGTCTGTCTCTCTCTCTCTCTGTCTCTCTCTCTCACTCGCTATCTTTCCCTGGAGGGACGCATCCTGTTTACCTAATTCCGGAAAGCATTAGACACAGGTTGGCATGTTCCAAGGTTTGGGTAGAGACCAGCGTGAGCACAGTTGGAGTAACTTCTTGGGTTTGAAACCACACAGCTTTTCATTGATAGCATTGTCTGTCTTTTGTTTCTCGCTGCTTGTCCAGCTGGGAACACCGACACGTTAGTTAGGGTTTTGGCTGCAGGGTTAGCAGGAGCTTAAGGTGAGGTTTCTGTACGCCAGTAACTGGTCTGCCCTTCCAGATCCTGCTGATAAAACAGGCTGGGCTGCGCTGTCCCAGCAGTTAGTGCCTAGGAAGACACCGAAACCCACTGTCTCAGGAAGCTGACTAAAGACCGTCAAAGAGGATAGAGGAGATTCCCAAATTCCGTTCCTAAGCCTTTCACCTTAGGGCCAAGTCAGCTCCAAGGACACTCCACTTACCTACCACGACCCGCAGCCACACAACCGCATATCTGCACCACCCACCAGCCGACCACACACACACCGGCAGCAGAATAGACTTCAGCAGATCGTTCAGCAGTCAACAGGCGCGTGTTTGAGCCTCACTAAGTGGAAGGTGGGAGCTTTCCGATGGGCAACACATAGCAGCATAAGGAACGTGAGAACATTGTCACCAACTTCCTGTCCGCAGCTCGAATAGACATCCCTTCCCACTCCACCAACTGTAGGTGCAGAGTTTAAGTATCAGCCTTCTGTCTCTCTGCAGTAATCAAGGATTCGAAGCGCTGAATGTACGAACATATGTTCACAAACTCGGACTCCAGGTCACACCTTCTAGCAGCTGCCGCCTCAAGGCTCAGAGTGTTCCCGGCACCTCTGATATCCGGCGAGAGTCTGCTTTATTTATCAAGGTTCTTCACAGCAGAAGCTGTATTAAGCAGCTGTTGTTGAGATACGCTGTTACAGAACATTGGATTTGGACCTGGGGATAATCAAGTTGGCTGGCACTGTTCCATAAAGCTACTCCCACATGAAATATCCCATAGCACTGTTTAACAAAAACAGTGTGTTTCCTCTGGTGACTAAGTCAACAATTCCTCATATATGATTAGTTATTCACTCCATGTTTGGTGGGCATTGCCATATACAAATTGGCTTACATGTTTGTCTACAAAACACACAGTCACTGCACCTTACAGTATGTTGTCAACGGCATTGGAAGGTGCAATAAAATTTTTAACTATTATTATTATAATTAATATGTCTGTAAGGTTAAATATCTAACGGTTAAGGTTTCAAAGGCTTTATAGTTAATCTCCATATACTACTAGAATCTCACTTACTCATAATCATTTAGTTAGGTGTTTGGTTTAAAGACCATCTTAGCAGGGGTTATCTTTGCCGGATCAGGTCAGCTTATAAGTATTTTTTTTCCTGGGAAGATGTTCACTCCTCTGAGATAAAGAGAAATCAGGCCCTTGAAGACAGATTTAAGAAACATAGACCCCAGGAAGAAACATCTACATGCTCATACAGCTGGCTATCTCAAGACTGAGAAACACAAAGGCTGGAGAAGAATGGAAAAGGAAAGTTGTCCATTTGTATCAATTTTTTAACGAAGGGAAAAGATCCAACTGAGTGTCACTATCAGTCTGCAAAGTCTGATGGCTAACTCATTGGCAAGGGGAGGCGGAGTCAGAAACTACTAAAAGAAAGATGTAACCATGAAATAGTTGGAGTCGAATTGGGAGTCGACCCTTCTTCCCAGCTGGAAGTGGTAATACGGATTTTCCTGTATTGGTTGAGTCACTTGGAGCTTATGTGTTATGCTTAATAAACTTTGGATTCTCACACAATCTCAATAGTCGTCTACAGCTGAATTTCTTACCTATTAGCGCCATTCCTTCATTACATGGATAGCTCAGTTACACAAATAATAATCATCCCTTTTGATATTACATTTCGTCACATCATTGAAACTCTGCAACGCACTTCATATAAAACATTATAAAATGTGTATATTTTATGTATTAATTGTTTATATTATCAGCAAATTTAGCTAAATGTAAAACGAAAAATTGTTGTTTGTGACACATTCGTGCTCCCGGTCTTGTGACTTCTGTACTGAGGATAATTGACTATAAGATTGGAATCAATTTCCCTGATCAATGTAACGTTAGACCGGTCTGTACACACCGAAATTTCACCAACGACACAAGTTAGTTTTAATGGTACTCAACCTACCGCAAACTCTTTGAGTTTCAACAGTTTCTCCAGCATCGATGTCAAGTCCTCTACCAGATCATCCATCATCTGCTCCAGTCTCTGACGGAACGTCCAGGTCAACATGTGCACCTCTGAGTCGCTGTAGCTTTCCAGAATTTGTTTGATTGTAGGTTTGTGGTCAACTGACAAAAATAAGGCATACGTGAAGGGTAGTGAGAGCATCGAAGGTCACTACTACATTAGATGGGGGAGATGAATGTGGGGAAGGTGTGGCATGAATGCAAATCAATGCACCATAGAGCAGAAGGCAAGCGGGTTAGGAGCGTGATAGGAATATTGTCATCCGGGATGCAATAAATATAGCAATCGCGTGTATCTTCTGCAGTCGAGATCGAGTGCACAGGAAGGTCTGTTGCCTTCCCGGTTCCAGGGTAAGGCATATTTCAAAGCAGCTGGAAAGGAACTTAGAAAAGGGAGGGAACAGAAACAATTATGCTTATTCATCCGGGAACCAATGACAAAAGAAAGCGGAAATAGGAGGTCCTTGTAAGGGATTATCAAGAGCTAGGAGTTAAACTGAAAAACAGGACAATCTCAAGATTGCCTTCCGAGCCACGTACTAATCAGCAGAGATCAACAGATCAGGGAAATGAATGTGTGGTGCGAGGAGCAGATTCCATTTCATGGGAAACTTGGACCAGTACTGGTACAGGAATGAGCTGCACTGTTGGGATGGACTGCATCTGAACTGGGCTGGAACCAAGCTTCCAGTGAAAAGGCTAAATAATACTGTAGAAAAAGCTTTAAAACAGTAAAGTAGGATGGATGTGGGGGAACAATAACCAAAGCGTAATGCAAAGAGAGGATGAGAGCAACGTTCAGCATGCATATAATAATAATAGTCGTTGAATTTGATATAGCGCTTTTAACGTCAGGAGGACGTCACAAAGCGCTTCACAGAACACACTGTAAAGTGAATTGACTGTATATTTGTTGGCGAATGCGGCAGCCAATTGCGCACAGCAATGTCCCACAAACAGTCGTAGATTGAAAATGACCAATTTATTATTGTTTTTGGTTTTTGGAGGGATTATTATTAGTCATGTGGAGTAAGGAAACTTGCCCAAGGTTTCTCCCTGTCTGGAATTGAACTCAGGTCTTTCGCTTGCAAAGCGGCGTGTGCTCTAACCACTGAGCTACGGGACTCCGCATATAGTGTTCAAGACAGAAATACTACAAGCTAATAGGATGTTATCACAAACATGTGTAACAGGTCAAACAATGTGAGAAGAACATTGTCTGGGCATATAGGCATGTCGGGGACAATTATCCAAATAAGACTTATTTCCACAAATGCATGTAGCATAAAAAATCAAACAGGATGGATCAGTTTAAGTATCAGCCTCTTGTCTCTCTGCAGTAATCAAAGTTTCGAAGCGCTGAATGTATGAACATAGGTTCACGAACTCGGACTCCAGTTTACACGATCCAGCAGCTATCGCCTCAAGGCTCAGAATATTCCCGTCACCTCTGCTGTCCGGCGAGCTTCTGCCTTTATTCATCAAGTTTCATCACAGCTGGAGCCGATGCAGCTGATGTTGTGTTGTTGATGCTGGACGGGACTCGGAGCTAAATGTTCAAGTCTATAATATCTTTAGACGACAAGGTAAAATGCCACTGGATTTGGTGAGGAGTAATGATCCATAACTAGTTAAGAATCTGAAGGAAGCATCTTGCAAATAGTAATCATAATATGATTGAATTTGACATTAGCTTTGAGAGTGAGTAGGGAAAGTCCCAAACCATGGTTTTAAATTTAAGTTAAGCGAGCAGCGATGTGTTGGGATCTGGAAGGCTTTGCCTGAAACAAGAACAACGTGATTAGAATTATATAGCGCCTTTCACGTCAGGTGTACATCCCAAGGTGCTCAAAATGTGTGGAAGCATTGGGATTGATTTGAAAAAGCTCACTGCAAAGAGACGATACAGAGAAGATGGGCCGAATGGCATTCTTCTGTGCTTTTCAATTCCATGATAAATCTCAGTGGGATGAAAAATAAATTTACAACAGTAAACTTGGCTGAACTGCTAATGGGGAAACCTGCAGTTAAACAACGAGAATTATTCCAAAAGGTATTTGGTACACTACAGAACAAGTACATAGCGCTAAAACGCAAAAGCTCCAGTCGTGAAGGTAAGCAACCACAGTGGACAAAAGAGGTTCGAGGTTGTATCACACTAAAACAAAAGGCTTACTCAAACGCCAGAAAAATTAGGAATGCAGAGGACCGGGCGAACTACAAAAGGCAAACAAATTGATATAAATAAATTAAAACGAGGAGCAATAAAGGAATATGAAACAAAAGCTTGCAACGGATATTAAAACAATAGTAAAAGCTTTCATCAATATAATTAAGAGAAGGACAGTGAGTGGTACGCTTCAATGTGTTGCCATTAAACACAAATGTAGTTGAGACTCTAATGGAAAATAACGAAATGGATTGTTAAATAAATACTTCGTTGCCGGATTTACAGTAGAGGATGTGGACAAAATACAAGGCGTACAGGGCAACGTAAATATAAGTTAAAGTGAAACGCTTAATAAACTTAATATGAATAAAAATGATAATGGAGAAAACAGTGAGCCTCAAGACAGAAAAATCTCCCGAACATGATAGTTACCACCCAGGATTTTAGAGGAAATAGGAAAGGAAATTGCAGTTGCTTTCGTCATAATTTCCAAAGCTCACTAGATTGAGAATTGTGCCCTTAGATTGGAATATTATGAATATAATAATAATCCTTGCATTTGAAATATCACCACTTTATTTAGGGAGGGAGCGAGGGATAAACCAGGAAACTACAGGCTTGTCAGCTTTACGTCAGTCGTAGGAAGAATACTCGAATCCATCATCAGAAACAGAGTGATTGAGCATTTCGACAGGTGTAAGCTAATCTAAGTGAGTGAGCGTGGGTTTGTGAAGGGCAGGTCTTCTCTGAGTAATCCAGTTGAATTTTTTGAGGAGGTAAATACAATTCCTGATAAGAGAGTGTCTATGGATGTTGGTTATATGGACTTTCAGAAGGTATTTGATAAGGTTCCACATAAACGTTTATTACACTAAAACGAAGCACGTGGAGTTCGAGGTAACCTAGTGACGTGGCTTGGCAATTGGATAGGAGGCAGGAAACAGAGCATAGGGATAAAGTGGACGTTATCTGATGGTCGGGACGTGACAAGGGTTGTCCCACGGAGAGATCTCAGCTATTCACCATATATATATATACACACCATATACAAAGCTATGCAACACATATACATCATACATACAGCTACTCACCATGTATACACAGTATACATAGCTATTCACCATACATATGACGTTAAAATGGTCAAGGCCTGTTGCGAGGATGTGCAACGGGAATCCGTTTGATCGCAGATGTTACTTGTTACCAAGTG